TAAGAATGTACCCAGGTAAAAGCATTCTTGGTTTTTGGGCCAAAAGTAGACCATAGTTGCCAGCCTTTAAACCCCCATTTGCAGCCAAGACCTTAGAAATCCAGGACTCTGAATCATCTGTTACTTCCTGTGGCCTGAGATGATAATCTTAGTAGCTTGCAGAGTTTCCTTAGCCCTGGGGTGCTGGCCTCTGCCTGCCTACTCCAGAAGGGCCCGAGTAAGTGGGGAGGAAAATAAAGGACAAATTTCTCCTATCAAAGCGCAGTTCCCAGGGCTTCAACTGCCCAGGTACTGAGGCTGGCTTCCTGGACTGGGGGGGGGGGGAGAAAGCTAGGACATCTCTGCACAGCTGAGTTTTCAGGGAGCCATGGCTCCCAGGGGAGGCTGGTTCATTTATCTGTAAGTCAAACAACCAAACCTCTTCAGCAGCCAGTGCAGGTCCAAAGGATATCTGCCTGGGTTAGCCTCAGAGCCGGCCACCCAGCTACTCCCTTGCCAGGGCAGGCATCTGCTTCCCATCCCTTAGTTCTCAGGATGTTACCTCCTTGCCCCGGCACCCCAACAAGACCTCCTTCTAGAATGGAGAACTCTCCCCTGGACAGTGTGGGCCAGTGAGGTTGGCTCAGGGAGGCAAGGAAGCCCTTCCCAAATCAAAAACTAGGGTAGGGTCATTAATTCACTTCCCTGCTCCAAACCCTTCCATAGCTCCCATCATATCCAGCTATGGCCAGATCTCACTTGACTTACCCAATTTAGTCCCCACCCCTAGCTCAGACCTCTCCACCCACAGCTATTTCTACCCTGCCCAGCCCATGGTCATCTAAAATTTACTAAGGCTGTATGTGAAACTAAAGAAACAGACTCTTGCCAGTTTGCAGGAATGAACAAGGTCACATGCGTGTCCCACTGGGGACTTCCAGAGAGTGCTTGCCGACAGCGGCACTGAACACGCAGTGGGCCGGGAACAACTCAAGTGGCCTGTGCAGGGCTAGGGAAGAGAAAATGAAATGTGTCTTGCCTTGGAGCACTACACAGTGGAGCTCTACATGGCAGTGAGGACACCCAAGAGAGACCAATATCTACTGTCATAGAACAGACACACACCAGTGCATGCAGGCACTAGTGTAAACACCAGACTGCTGTGTGGCCAAGAGTGCCACTGGGAACATCAGAGGACTACTCACTCTGTCCCCACCGCAGGCAGGAGGCCCTGCAGGCTGCTCTGTGCTGCTGTACTCTGTACTTCTAACCTACAGCCTACTCTTCTAGGGACACAGGATCTACAACTCCCCAGCTGGTCCAGGGAGCATTCCCAAAGGGCTGCTGGTGCTAAGTATGCATCACGTTGGGCAAAATCAGGCTGGGAAGCAAGGACCATGCTGAGCACCACCATGTGCATGCCAGGTGCTTACTGTCATGGGCTCTTAGATCCTTCTGGGAACAAGAGTCTTCTGCTGGGTGGCTCAGGTCACAGCGGCCATGGAGACCAGATAAACACAGCCTATCTGAGGCTGGGCCTTGCCTGTCTGTAGGTTCCAGCCAGGCTCTTCCTGTGGCTCTTGTGTCATGGGAATATAAGGGGGACCCATATTTTTATTTTTGGAGACAAGGTCTTGCCATGTAGTTCAGGTTGGTCTTGAACTCACTATGTAGCCAAAGTTGGCCTCTAACTTGCAGTGATCCTCTTGCCCCAGCCTCTCAAGTGCTGGGATTATAGGTGTGTACCACCACATCAGGCAGCTGGACCCAGCTGAAGGCCAGCACTATGAGCACAGTCAAAGAAAGGCCCTGGGAGAGAGAAGTAGGGCCCAAGCAGCCAGGCAAGTCTACTTGTACAGCTGAAGGTGGTGTTTTTGTTTTCGGGGTTTTGTTGTTGTTGTTTTGGGTTTTTTTTTTTTTTTTTTTTGCTAAGAATCAAACTCAGGCCTTATGCTTTCCAGGTGCTGAGCCACTGAGCTACATCCCCAGCCACAACTAGGGGTTTAGAGAGGGTTGGAGCTCCAAGAGGTTGAAGGTCATCTATGATGGAACTGAGCTTCTGAACTCAGAGTGCAGGTTTATTCACTCTGCGTTTAGTCTCAAAAACTTAATTATCAGCTCTAGGTGTGGCTCTGGTCACATCCCCACCAGCAAAACAAACTCAGATCCTTAAGGTCCCTCAACAGAAGTGTCCTTCAGTAGGTAAGAAAAGATGCCCAGGATCTGTGGGGCTGGGCAGGAGCCTACAGTGGCTGCAGATAGGCAGATAGGCTTAGGCCGAAGATTCTACAGCACGTAGTTGAGGCTACTCTCTGCAGGTAACAAGAGAGGAAAAGACAGACCAAAGGTGAGTGGGCAGGAGCCCTGTGGTGACAGCAGGGTAGAGGTGACCAAGAACTGTAGCAGCACGGTGAGTGAGGGGAGCCTGACTCGCTGGGTGGGGCCACATGGCACGTAAAAACCAGCTTCAAATGGCAATCACTCTTGTGACTGTGGAGGCCTGGACTAGAAGGCCAGGGGCGAATGAGAGAGCAGTGTAGTCCAGAGAGGCAGGGGAAGGAAAGCTAAAGTAGGGCACAGGTATCTGGGGAGGGGGTCCCAGGGCAGATCCAGCCTGTGCCGGCAGACTGAACACGAAGATGTTGGAAACTACCTAGCATGATTTCTCGGCTTCCAGCCGGAGCAAGTTCCCTTCCCAAGACAAGGCTGGATAGGGAGTCAGAGTTGAGCTGAGCCACAGAGAAGTTCCAGGGACAGAACACACAGAGCCAATAAGAGGGCTCAGGTCAGGGACCACGGGGCTTGCCCCATGCCAGCCTTGGACTCTATTGATGAACTGGGCTCAGGTGTTCCCTTGAGGAAGCTGCTAGGATTATGGGGCCCCAGGGACAGCCCAGCATGTCTGCCCATGCCCAGCACAGTGATGACTGCAATCTGTGGCCTTGGCCAGTGTTTCTACATAGTCACCTGGTCTGGCTCAGGGCCATGAGGCTATAGGACTCTGCCCATTCCTCCTGATGCATGCCCAGCCCAGAAATGGGCCTCACATGCTTTCCAGCTCTGTGCATCTCTCAGCATCACTGCTTCTGTAGGGACGCCCAACCTGCCAGCAGCCACAGCCACAGCCTCTCTCAGCAGATGAGTAGGGTTTGCTTGGGGTCTAGAGGACCTGTGTTCTCATCTGAAGCAGCCTAATGTCCCATCCTCTATAAGGAGGGACAGTCCACAGGTGGTGTCCCAGGTGGCAGGGTTAGGAAGAGGCCCATGTCCCTCTCCTTTAGACTGCTATTCACATGAGCCTAGCCTGGTGCCACTAGGACTGTCCCGACCATCCAGCCTAAAAGGGTCAGATCTCTCCTCGCAGTGCTGTGATATCCTGAGCAGACCAGTGCTTCCTACCATACCTTATTTTCTTTATCTGTTCAATGGGACAAATGTCAGAATGCTCACTAGACTAGGCAGTCAAGTAGCTGGTCAGTTTGCAGGCTATGATGGCCAGGAGGCCTTAAGTGCGAACTGAGAGCCATGTCCTTGCCTGTCCTGGGATGAGGGAGGCTTCTGGGATGTTCCAGCTCAGGCTGAGTGCCAAGAGATCACTGCCTCTGAGAACCAAGACCCTTGAGATGCCCACCTAGCCTGGAGATGGCAGGCAGCCTCAGGCTGAGGGGCAAAGAGGCACAGACCACAAGCCAAAGTCCAGCAGTGAGGCTGACCCTTCTCCTCTCCCAGCACATGCTGTGGTCACAGAAGGGCAAGTTCAGACTCTGATAACAGAGAGGGTGACCTGCTTGTGGGGAAGGAAGCCCGAGCCAAGTGCTCATTGAACCTGAGTGGGAGGGTCTTACCCGTCACCCTTACCCCCCAACTCCCACCAGCTTCCTACCCACCAGGCACTGGGCACTGAGCATCAAGCAGGTCACTTCTTGTGTGCATCTTGGACCTGGAGAACCCAGTAGGCTGAGGAGAGTGGGGAAGGTTAGACCACCCATGCAGACCTCATCGCTAGGACCCAATAATCCCAGCAGCTTCCCCAACGGTATACCTGCAAAACAGCCCCAGTGTCCAGTCCCTTGGGAGTGTGCACAGGGCCACCAGAGTGTTCCAAACTATCTAGGCAGGACTCCCCAAGCCACTTTCTCATGTTTTTATCATTGTTTTGCAGCACTGGAAATTGAACCCAGAGCCTTTCCACTAAACTGCACAACCCAGCCCTTTTTATTTTTTATTTTGAAACAGGGTCTTGCTAAGTTGTCCAAGCTGGGCTTGAACTTGACGTCCTCCCGACTCAGCCTCCCAGAATACTGGGATTATGGGCATGCAGCACCACCCCTGGCCACTTCTTCCTCTGGGCCACATTCAGCCCATGCGCTGTCTGTAGCTTTCACAGAATGGAGACTGGGGAGAGACTGGAGCAATGACATGGGCCTCAGGCCCAGAGAGAGCCAGAACCACAGTGAATCCCCACCCCGCCCCCAGTGTCTGACACCCTACCATCTTCCCTGCACAGCAGGGACGGAGGGCCCGCCTGGCCAAGGCCCGACCTTTATCAGCTAGATCCACTCACTTGCTTTGGCCTTCTTCATGGATGGCAGGGAAATAACATGTCCCAAGACCACAGAAGGACGAAGCAATTTTTAGACACTGGTTCAAGCCTGGACAGTCTGGCCCAGGCTATGGGGAGCTCCCATCCAAGGCATGTGCCCCTGTCCTGGCACTCCTTAGAGATGGCTCTGGGTATGTAAATATAGGGACATCATCCCCTTTGCTCCTCCTTGACCAACTCCTTACCTGATAGAACTGCCACATTCATTGTTCCCTTCCTGAGGTCACGAGGACTCCCAAGCTGACAGATCGGTCAGGTGGCTTGCCACGGTAGAAGAGTTTGAGAACAGAGTTCCCTGTGCATTCAGGCACAGTGTGCTCCCTACTTTCTAATGGACCCAGTACAGCCCTTCATTGCCAGTGCTGTGCGTTCTCACAGGGACAGCAGCCTGCATGAGCAGGCCAGCCTGGGGGCTTACCAGTGTGAACGGAGGACATTCAGCAGCAGGATGACGGCACCCAGAGAGTAGCAGGCCAGGTATGGGGATCTGAAGACACTGCTCAGTCTGCGGGTTCTATACTCCCATCTTGCAACCTGCACCCAGCAGAGAGAAGACATCAAGATGTTAAGTGTGCAAAGAGTTGGGGCAGGATGAGGGGAGCAACCCTCTGTTGTTCCCAGGATCGAGCTTTCAAATCACACGGGACACCTTCTGCGTTGCCTCCAGCAGCTATTTCCACTCCCAGGAATTGGTGCTGGGGATCGAACTCAGGACCTTGCACTTGCCAGGCAGATGCTTATGCCACCGAGCTATATTCCCAGCCCCTACCTCCATGGGTTCTTAGGAACTTCCATATCTCATCCAGTTTGGATGGACCAGGGCTTGTGGGAAGCAAATGCCAACCAAATAACCACGAGCTCATGGAAGAGGCTAGTTCTAAACCAGCGATGGCAAATCTTTTAGAGGCCAAGTGCCCAAACTGCAACCCAAAACCCATCACTGTAATTAAGCCTGAATATTGAGCTTTTAATTTAGAAAAAACAACTCATACAACTTGTGACATCATCGCAAAGAGGGCTCTGCATACGCACCATGGATTCATCACCTCTGCTCCAGACCAACACATGAAGAAGTCATTCCAGAAGTCACAAGGGTCCCTTCACACAATTCCAAAAGGGCCCCAACAGACAAGAAGTGGGAAGTGAGGGTCACCAAAGGAAGGCCTGGGACATGGCCACCTTCACAAGCACCGCCCAGGTTCAGACTTGCACCTGCCACCATTGGGGACACCCACAGAATCCATCGCAGGGCTAAAACTAAAGAAGGGAAGCCCGTCACCCCCACCAGAATCCATCCAAGCCCTTCCCTGAGGAACAAACCTCCAAATGTGTACCTTTTAGACACAGAAGTGTTTTGTTTTTACCAACCATTCATGTTTGGGACTTCCATATGCAGCAGCTAGCAGTGGCAGGTGGCTCTCAGGCCCCTTTAGGAGCTCCCTGGCCTCTGGTTCCCTGCCAGCAGGTTCTGGCCAGGCTGCACACTGCCTGGGGCTCCCACTGGGCACCTGGCCCAGTGCATAGATGGATGCACAAGTTAAAGGAAGGAGAAGGAGGCCAAGAAGGGTGCAAGACGGCAAACGCAGTCTGGGGTTCTGATGACATGAGCGGGTCACCTTTGTAAGCTCTGAAAATGAATTCATATCTACATGTATGTGCATATGGAGATGGCCCCCAACTTAGGGTGTGCTTCAATTTAAAAATTCTCAACTTTATGATAGTACAAAAGAAACATGGTTTCAGTAGAATCTGTACTTTAAATTTTGAAGTTGGCCTTTCCTGGGCCAGAGTTATGTGGTACATGTCTCTCTTTGGATACTAGGTGGCAAACGACAGCTCTGGGCCAGCCTGAGAACACAAATAACTGAGCTGGTCGGCTTTTTGTGAATATTAGTATTCAATACCTTACATGGGCTATTCAATTCTTCCTGATAAAATACACTTTGCTGGATGATTCTGGCCAACTGTGGGCAAATATGAATGTTTGGAGCATGTTTAAGGCAGGCAAGGTTGCACTATGATGTTAGTGGTTACAATGGGTTTATTAGGATGTGGCTCCCTTATATTTGAGGAGCATCAGTTAGGAAGGGTCAGGAAGGCCTCTGCAAGTGCTGAGACAAGAGTCCTGGGGACACTGATAGTGTAGTCCTGGGGCCATCAGGGCCAGAGGGATTTGTCCCAATTCCCAGCGCTCCTCCCTGGTACCCAGCCCTGTTTCCCAGCAGTTAAACAACCAGGGCGTGATCACCAGTTCCGGGTTCTACAGAAGTGTTTGCCCAAGGCCACTGACTTCATCTCTGCCACTGAATGAGTCCCAGAGCCCACTCTAGGTCTGTCCTCAGAGTTCCTAACCACTCTGGGAGGGGTGAAGTGGCATGAAGGGCAGAGTGAGTCAGGTTTTATAGAAAAGGGGACAAGGGAGGAACTCCTTCCTGGCCCTTCCCCTCAACTAGCTATTGGCACCGTTCTCCTGGAAAGTAAATAGTCCTTTTACCTATCTGGGCAGATGGCCTCTGCAGACTGTGGACCAAGTGAGAAGCTCATGCTTACTCAGAAGGGAGAAGAGCTGGAGGGGCTGGGAGAGGTATAGGATGCTGAGGTCCACAAGGCCCCGCCTGCAGCAGGCATCGCCAGGCCAAGGGCCAGAGATTTCACACATTCAGGGTCCCTCCATACTTTTAAAAAAAGTTTATATGAAACTCAGAATGATTTTTACTTGTGTAATCATTACCATGACCTCGTTCCAGAATACTTCTGTCACCCCAAAGAGAACACCATCCCCATCAGCAGTCATTCCCAGCCCCTGGCAACCACCAACAGGCTGTCCCTAGGGATTTGTTATTCTGGAATGTTTCATAAACAGAATCATACAATACATGGCCTTCTGCATCTGGTTTCCTTCACTTTGCATAATGTTTTCAAGATTTATCCATGTTACACCATATACGAACTTCCTATTCCTTTGGGGGGGGCCTGATTATTATTCCATTATATAAAGATGCCGTGTTTTGTCCCAATCAGCTGCTAATGAACATTTGGGTGTATACTTTTTGGCTATCATTAGTGATGCTGCTGTGAACATTCATGTCCAAGCTTTGTGCGCACGTGTGTTTCATTTCTCTTGAGTATATACCTAGGAATGGAACTGCTAGGTCCTATGCTAAGTCTATCTTTAATTTACTGAGAAACTGCCAAAGATTTTCCACAGTAGCTGTGCCATTTTACATTCCCACCAGTGAGGGACAAGGAGTCTGGTTTCTCCACAGCCTCTCAAATATTTGTTATTTTCCACTTTGTAAAATCATAGCCATCCTAGCAGGTAAGAAGTGGCACTCGTGGCTTTCATTTGCTTTTCTCTGTTACTTTATGAGGTTAAGGATCTTTAAAAACACTCACAGCCATTTATATACTTTCTTTGGAGAAGTATCTTTGGCAAAATGTCCTATACCTATTTTAAAAACCAGATTTATTATCTTATTGTTGACTTGTATTCTAGGTATTAAACTTTTATCAGATGCATGATTTACAATTATAATCTATGCATTTTCTCTTTGCTTTCTTAATAATAATATACTTTGAGGTACAAAAGCTTTTTCATTTTACATGCAACACTGTTGTGTCTTTTAAGATTCAACCCAAATCAACAAAGCTTGCCCTGGTGCCTACTGATGGGTGCTGGCATCATTTCCAAGCACCGCTGAGGCACTGAAAATGCATAAACAGCCAGGCCTGCCCTCAAGGGGCTGAATGCACTACAACTCAATGAATTTGGGAGTGAATCCCTGCCAGGGTACCTCCCTCTGCAGCACAGGCAGCCAGGCAGGTTGGCTCTGAATCAGAAGTGGTGACAGAGTAGCCTGTGGGGTTTCATCTGGAGAGTACTGGGAGACAAGGCCACCCTCCCAAGCTGCAGAGAGCACTCCCCAAAGTGCCTCTGCCCATCAGTGGTCTGATGTGCCAGCCCTAAGGAGACAGCAGCTATCAAGCTGGAACCTGGACTGGAGTAGCAGTGATGATTGTGTCCAGGTAGAAGTCTGCAGAGGGGGCTCAGGAAGGGAGCAAGAGTCAGTGACTATTTAAGAACTTTGAGGACAACTTCTCTATGACAATGTATTACTAATAAAAATAACAACCATCAATCCAGCATTTACAATTTCACAATGCTTATGCTTTAGTTCACATGGTCTCAAACTAGCTCCACTCACAAGTGGGGAGACTGAGGCTCTTGGAGTGACTTCTAGGGCCCTGCAGCCAGACAGAGGCATGGCAGACCAACCTGTTGGCCTCCTGCCCAGAGCTCTTGCTAGCCACTGAGGCCCAATCAGCTCACTTGCTTTTCAAATGAGCCAACACTCACACACCATGTTCTACCAACTTGTGATCATGTCTTGCCTTCAGAGTCCACTAGTGTTTCCCTCCCAGCTGATGAGGTAACACTTTCAGGACACTGAAGCTACCGCATCCCTGTATCTGAGGTGTGGGACCCTGCCTCCTAGCAAACCCATATCACAGTGCAGTCCGGGTATGGGGATCATGCTCCCTCTACCCTCAGGGGAACCAGTTTATCTCTTGGGGTCATTTCCCATCTGCAGAATGAGGAAGGCAGGGTCAGCAATCCCTGAGCTGCTCACATCCCATTTCCTAGAATATGGCTTCAACCTTTCAGAAACCCAAGAGGCTAGGGACGTGACTCAGAGTGAACATTTACTGAGCATGTGAAGGCCTTGGATTCAATCCCCAGCCCTAAAAAACAAAGAAACTGAGTACCTGCTGGGAGGGACAGAGAACACAGCATTGTCCATCTGCATTTGGGAGCAGGGGTTGGGGAGGGGGCAGGAAGGCCTGGAGAGGATTTGTGGAGGATGGAAATATTCCAAGTCTTGATTGGGGTCACAGTGACAAAGATGCAGACCTCTGTCAAGAGTGAGCAACGGTACATTTAAAATGCACGCACCATAACATAGTACAATCCCTGGCCGCTCTGCCCCTGCCGAGTTGTAATTCGACTCTTGTCATTTCAAGGCAATCAATAATCAGCAGCCAGCTCAACTCCCTGAATCCAAGGGTAATTTCCCTCTCTGACTGACAGCTCCACTGTCCTCTGCAGGCAGCCAGCTGCACACTTCATCCAATTAAGGAGCCGGAAGCAGGTTGGCAAGCACGATGCCAGGGTGACTGCGAGGGGCTGGGCATGGGTGACGCAAGTGCCCTCAGCACGGTGGGAGGCAGGATGACCAGGCTCTGCTGTCACTGCTCCTAGTTTTGCTCATCTTCCAGATTTCTAGAATCCATCTTGCTCCCAAACCACCTGGCAAATACAGCATGCCCAGGTAAACTGGACTGGCAGATAAGATAGCACAGCATTAAGGCTAAGTTATTCCAGTTCTCCCATGGAACTTCTTTTCATACTTCTTTTAAAAAAACCAAAACTTGCTCTTTGCCTAAAAGAATATTTCCCTGGGACCCTGGAGCTCTGTTTGCCCCAGCAGCCTTGTTTGAAGAGAGGACACCCCTGACCGGGGGTCACCAGCTTA